AGAACTCTCCACCCCAAATCAACAGAATATACATTCTTCTCAGCACCACATAGCATTTACTCAAAATTTGACTGCATAATTGGAAGTAAAACACTCCTCAGCAAATGCAAAATAATGGAAATCATAGCAAACAGCCTCTCAGACCACAGTGCAATCAAACTAGAACTCAGGATTAAGAAACTCACTCAAACCACACAATTACATGGAAACCAAACAACCTGCTTCTAAATGACTATGGGAATAACGAAATTAAGGCAGGAATAACGAAGTTCTTTCAAACCAATGAGAACAAAGAGACAACATACCAGAATCTCTGGGACACAGCTAAGGTGATGTTTAGAGGGAAATTTATAGCACTAAATGCCCACATCAGAAAGTGGGAGAGATCTAAACTCAACACCCTGACATCACAGTTAAAAGAATTAGAGAAACAAAAGCAAACAAATTGAAAAGCTAGCAGAAAACAAGCAATAACTAATATCAGAGCAGAACTGAAGGAGATAGAGACACAAAAACCCTTCAAAAAAATCCATGAATCCAGCAGCTAGTTTTTTGAAAAGATTAATAAAGTAGATAGACTGCTAGCCAGACTAATAAAAAAGAAAAGAGAGAAGAACCCAAATACACACAATAAAAAATAACAAAGGGAATATCACCACTGATCCCACAGAAATACAAACTACCGTCAGAGAATACTATAAACACCTCTACACACACACACACACACCAAAAAAAAAGAAAAACACTAAAAAAAAAAAAAAAAAAAAAAAGAAAAACACTAGAAAATCTAGAAGAAATTGATAAATTCCTGGATACATACACCCACTTTAGACTAAACCAGGAAGAAGTCAAATGCCTGAATAGACCAATAACAAGTTCTGAAATTGAGGCAGTAATTAATCGCCTACCAATCAATAAAAGCCCAGGACCAGATAGATTCACATCCAAATTCTACAAGAGGTACAAAGAGGAGCTGGTACCATTCCTTCTGAAACAATTCCAAACAATAAAAAAGAGGTCATCCTCCCTAACTCATTTTATGAGGCCAGCAGCATCTTGATTCCAAAACCTGGCAGAGGCACAACAAAAAAAGAAAATTTCAGGCAATATCCCTAATAAACATCAATGTGAAAATTCTCAATAAAATACTGGCAAACCAAATCCAGCAGCACATCAAGTCAGCTTCATCTCTGGGATGCAAGGCTGGTTCAATGTACACAAATCAATAAATGCAATCCATCACATAAACAGAACCAATGACAAAAACCGCAATTATCTCAATAAATGCAGAAAAGGCCTTTGATAAAATTCAACACCATTCATGCTAAAAACTCTCAATAAACTAGGTACTGATGGAACATATCTCAAAATAATAAGACCTATTTATAACCAACCCATAGTAAATATCATACTGAATGGGCAAACGCTGAAAGTATTTTGAAAACTGGTACAAGAGAAGGATGCCCTCTCTCACCATTCCTATTCAACAAAGTTTTGGAATTTCTGGCCAGAGAAATCAGGCAAGAGAAAGAAATAAAGGGGTATTCAATTAGGAAGAGAGAAAGTCTAATTGTCTGTGTTTTAAGACAACATGATTGAACATGAACAACTCAGCAAAGTCTCAGGATACAAAATCCATGTCCAAAAATCACAAATGTTCCTATAAACCAATAACAGACAAGCAAAGAGGCAAATCTGAGTGAACTCCCATTCACAATTGCTACAAACAGAATAAAATACCTAGGAATACAACTTATAAGGAACATGAAGGACCTTTTCAAGTAGAACTACAAAACGCTGCTCCAGAAAATAAGAGAGAACACAAACAAATGGAAAAATATTCCATGTTCATGGATAAGAAGAATCAGTATCCTGAAAATTGTCATACTGCCCAAAGAACTTTATAGATTCAATGCTGTTCCCATCAAGCTACCATTGACTTTCTTCCCAGAACTAGAAAAGCTACTTTAAATTTCATATGGAACCAAAAAGGCCCATATAGCCAAGACAATCCTAAGCAAAAAGAAAAAATCTGGAAGCATCACATTACCTGATTTCAAACTATATTAAAAGACGATAGTAACAAAAACAGCATGGTACCTGTACCAAAGACAGATATATAGCCCAATGGAACAGATCAGAAGCCTCAGAAATAACACCACAATCTACAAGCATCTGATCTTCAACAAACTTGACAAAAAGAAGCAATGGGAAAAGGATTTCCTATCTAATGAATGATACTGGGAAAACTGGCTAGCCATATGCAGAAAACAGAAACTGAACCCCTTCCTTAAACCTTATACAAAAATTAACTCAAGATGGGTTAAAGGCTTAAACATAAACCTAAAACCATAAAATTCTAGAAGAAAACCTAGGCAATACATTTCAGGACATAGGCATGGGCAAAAACTTCATGATTAAAATACCAAAAGCAATTGCAACAAAAGCCAAAATTGACAAATGAGATCTAATTAAACTGAAGAGCTTCTACACAGCAACAAAACAAAACAAAACAAAACAAAAAAGCCTATCATCAGAGTGAACAGGCAACCTAGAGAATGGGACAAAATTATTGCAATCTATGCATTTGACAAAGGTCAAATATCCAGAATCTATAAGGATCTCAAACAGGTTTACAAGAAAAAAAAAATCCCATCAAAAAGTGGGCAAAGGATATGAGCAGACAATTTGCAAAAGAAGACATTTATGCAGCCAGCAAACATATTTTTTAAAAAGCTCATCATTAATGCATTAATGCAAATCAAAACCACAGTGAGATAACATCTCATGCCAGTTAGAATGGTAATCATTAAAAAGTATGGAAACAACAGATGCTGGTGAGGATGTGGAGAAATAAGAATGCTTTTACATTGTTGGTGGGAGTGTAAATTAGTTCAACCATTGTGGAAGACAGTGCAGCAATTCCTCTAGGATTTAGAACCAGAAATACCATTTGACCCAGCAATTCCATTATTGGGTATATACCCAAAGGATTATAAATCACTCTACTATAAAGACACATGCACACATATGTTTACTGCAGCACTATTTACAACAGCAAAGATTTGGACCAACCCAAATACAGATCAGTGATAGACAGAATAAAGAAAATGTGGCCCATACACACCATGGAATACTATGCAGCCATAAAAAAGAATGAGTCCATGTCCTTTGCAGGGATATGGATGAAGCTGGAAACCATCAACCTCAGCAAACTAACACAGGAACTGAAAAGCAAATACAATATGTTCTTACTCATAAGTGGGAGTTGAACAATGACAACACATGGACATCGGGAGGGGAACATCACACACCAAGGCCTGTAAGGGGGTGGGAGGCCACAGCAGGGAAAGCATTAGGACAAATATGTAATGCAGGCAGGGCTTAAAGCCTAAATGACAGGTTGATAGGTGCAGCAAACTGCCATGACCCATGTATACCTATGTAACAGACCTGTATGTTCAGCACATGTATCCAAGAACTTAAAGTAAAATCAAATAAAAAATTTTAAGAATGAAGTTTACAGAAGTTCAAGAAAAATACAAAAGAGACCACACTCAAGAACATTATAGTCAAATAGCTGAAAGCTAATGAAAAAGAGAAAACTGTAAAAACAGAGAAAAGAGACATGTTGCCTTCAAAGAAGCAACAGGACATAAGACTGACTTTTCAACAGAATTTTTGGAATCCAAAGGCAATGGAATGGCATACGTAAAGTGCTAAAGGAAAATATAACTGCCAACTATAAAGCTGAGTACTCTTTGAAAAATGAAGGCAATTTATTGTAAGCAGAACTATAGTATAAGAAAAAAATGGATATAATTTTTAAGGCTAAACAAGAATGAATGGAAGCACAGCTTTACAAGAAGGAATTTAGAAAAGGTACAGTTCAGAAAAGTTAACTCTATTGATAATATAAGAAAACGTTGAGCATTTTAAACAATAATGACAATAAAGTCCTGTGGGTTAATAAAATATAGACAAACAAAATATTCAACAATAATTGCACAAAGGGCAAGAGGCTGACTCACCTAGGCAGAACCAGGAAGATGGGGCCACTATAAAAGTGGGTAAGATTAACTCAGCTAAAATTTGTAAACAAATTTTTAAAGGCTGATATGACCTAACATAAGAGTATAAAATCCTTTGGAACCATGACATGAATTTGCACCCCTTCATAGGCTCTTCTCCCTAGGGCTCATGATGTGTTCATTAGAAAGACTGGGGTGAGGGCAAGAGACCAGAAGAAGCATCCATTGAAGATGAGCCTTAAAAAAAGGCAGTAGCCAAGTTATGGGAAAGACACCATGCTATGGTTGGTCCTTTTTCCACTAAAAACAAAAGATTTAATCAGCTGGGGTATGGGGTTTGGAGGGGTGGATAGCAAACCACCTCATCCCGAGGACACCATTGGGCTGGGAGCTGGGGAGGAAAAATCTTCCAATCTCTGGGGAAGGAGCCATAAAACCATCCTGGATCTAGACCACTAGAAATTTTTTGCTGGTAGTAGAGTGAAAGAATTAAGAAAGCACCATCCTTAGATATAGGGACATGAGATCTACTGAAGAATGAGGCTAAACTAAGACAACAGGGAATTCCCCTGGCCTCATCAGCAGGAAAATCAAACACCGACAATTTGCTGTTGGCAAATAAGATAGCTTGAAGAGTGACCTGTTCTGAGACTCAGAAACACAGGGAAGGCTAAAACCTCAGGGTAGGATTAGGAACTTAAGAAAGTTTGCTATCCAGCAAACTGATCCTCACCCTAAAGATAAAATAATACAGATGAAAGAAGCCAGTGGTACAATGAAGACAAACACAGCAACAGCAAAACATAAAACCAGCTCCATTCCTGAGAAGTTTGACACAATCTTCCACACACACAAACATTGTAAAAGAACAAAAAAAAAACATGCCTGACCATTTTCAGGTAATAAATACTACTTACCTAAATCTTACTGTTCTACACACTCTCTGGCAATTAATAGACCTTTAGGAAAGTGCTCTCTTTGGCAGTATATACACTGAAATTGGAATGATACAGAGATGATTAGCATGGCCCTGTGCAAGGATGACAGACAAATTCATGAAGACTTTCATTAAAAAAAGAGACAAAGAGACATGTAAAAGCAAGAAAAAACAAACTCACTGTCAAAAAACAACGCAACCAAAAAAACAAGATTCAAGGGATAATGTAGACATTAAAATTATCCAACAAATAACTTAAAATAACTACAATTCATATGGTTCTAGTGGGAAAAAATTAACAACATGCACAAGAACACAGCATTTCAGCAAAGAAATGGAAATTATAAGAAATTAATGGAAATGCTAGAAATAAAACATGGTAACAGAGATGAAGATTACTTTCAGTGCACTCAAAACGTCAAGGAAAGTCAGTGAAATTAAATGTAGGTCAATAGAAATTATCCAAATTGAAGGACAAAAAAGACAGTGGGAAAATAAAAATGGCTCAGAGCACCCAAGAGCTGTGGTATCATATCAAATGGTCTACCATGTGTAGAATGGAAATCCCCACGGATGGCATTAGGGGTGGAAATGACAGAGAAGAGAGAGAAACCAAATAAATATTTGGAGAGTTAATGGTTAATATTTTTCCAAAATAATGTAAGACATGAAGCCACAGATCTGAGAAGGTCAGAGAACCATAAGCAGGATAAACAAGAGCAACAAAAATAAAGCCACCTGGATATATCATATTGAAAGTGCTAAAAGTGAAAGATAAAGGGATAATCTTAAAGACAACCAGAAGTAAAAAGACATGTTACAAATAGAGCAACAAAGATAAGAACTGAAGTACATTATTAATCAGGAATTATACAAGCTAGGAAAGAATGAAAATAAATATTTAAAGTGCTAAAAAAAATTGTCAAGCCAGAATGTTATGGAACTATGTTTCAAACATAAAGAAGAAATAAAGACTTTCAGACAAATGTAAACAGAAGTGTCAAAAAAATCTTCAGAAAGAATCAGAGCTAGACAGAAATTTAAATCTACACAAAGAAATGATGAAGATAAAAGACGTTTTTCCTTATTATAATTGTTCTAAAAGATAATCAACTTTTTAAAGGAAAAATAGAAGGAGTACTTCGGGTTTACAACATGTGTAAAGGTGAAATATAAGAAAATGATAGAAAAACAGACTGGAGGGAGCAGCTGGGAGTATCCTATTGTAAAGTACTAACATTACATGTGAGTGATATAATGTTATTTGAAGGTAAACTGTGATTAACTAAGACATGCATTATAAATTCTATGTCAACCACTAAAAAGTCAAAAAGAAGTGTCAGTAAACCAACAATAAAGATACATACTGAGTTACAAAAAAAATACACAATTCAAGAGCAGACAGAAAGAGAAAAAAGGACAAATTAAACAAATAGCAAACAACTAGCAAGACGAGATATTTAAATCTGACCATATCAATAATTTCATTTAATGTAAATGATGTAAACACACTAAATAAAAAAGAATGTTAAATGTCATTTTTTTTTATGTCAAACCTATTGGGAAACAAAATGGTGCAGCCACTGTGGGAAACAGTTTAGCAGTTCCCCAAAAAGTTAAAATTAGAGGTACCACATGACTCAGCTCTTCCACTCCCATGTATATACCCAAGAGAAGGGAAAACATATGTTCACACAAAAAGCTGTACATGAATGTTCATAGCAGAATTATTCAAAATAGCCAGAAAGTGAAAACAACCCAAGTGCCTATCAACTGATGAGCTGGATAAATAAAATGTAATATATCCATGCAATAAAATCTTGTTCAACCATAAGAAGAAATGAAAGAATGACACATGCTATAATATAGATGAAACTTCAAAACATGCTGAAAGAAGACAGACAATAGGCCACATATTGTATATTGCATTTATATGAAATATCCATAATATGAAAATCCATAGAGAAATAAAGTAAATTAGTGATTGCCAGGGTTGAAGAAAGGAGAGAATTGGAACTGACTGCTAATAGGTATGAGTTTCTTTTTGGAATGATGGAAATGTTCTGAGATTAAATATTGATGACAGCTGCACAACATTGTAAATAGTCTAAAAACCACTAAATTATACATTTTAAAATGTTGAAAATGGTGAATTTTTATATTTTGTGTATTTTACCTCAATTTTAAAAATTAAAGAGACCTGACTACATCCTATCTACAAGAAACTCACTGTAAATGAAAAAAACAAAAACAGTTCAGAATAAAAGAGTAGAAAATCATATGTCATACAAACAGTAATCATAAGAAAGCTAGTGTGGCAATATTAGTATCAGAAAATACAACTTCAGTATAGGAACATTTCCTGGGATAAACAGGAAAATTAGCCGGGTGCAGTGGCTCACACCTGTAATCCCAGCACTTTGGGAGGCCAAGGTGGGTGAATCACCTGAGGTAAAGAGTTTGAGATCAGCCTGACCAACATGAGGAAACCCCATCTCCAGTAAAAATACAAAATTAGCTGGACATGTTGGTGCACACCTGAAGTCCCAGCTACTTGGAAGGCTGAGGCAGGAGAATCACTTGAACCAGGGAGGCAGAGGTTGCAGTGAGCCAAGATCGCACCACTGCACTCCAGCCTGGGTGACAGAGTGAGATTCTGTCTCCAAAAAAAAAAAAAAAAGAAGGAAAATTACATAATAACAAGAAACTGATTCACCAAGAATATACAAAAAAATGCATAATATGCACACATCTAACAAAAGGTTTGCAGAATACAGGAAGAAAAATCTGAAGAATAAATGATATTAGGTAAGTCCAAAATTATGGTGAGTGATTTCAACACTTTTCTCTCTGTAATCAAAAAAGCAGTAAGACTGAATATCAGTAAGGGATTAAAAAGCTTAAAAAGATTAAAAATAAAAGGGTAGAAAATCATATGCTATACAAACCCTAATCACAGAAAAACTTGCCAAAAAATTGGAAAATAGTTGCAATTGAATGAACATGAAAAAACATCATAACAAAATTACTGGGATGTGGATAAAGCTGTCCTCATAGTGAAAGTTTTAGCATTAATGCTTATATTTAAAAATTATAAGAAGGGTATGGCAGCTTATACCTGTAATCCCATCACTTTGGGAGGCCAAGGCAGGAAAATTGCTTGAGGCTAGGAATTGGAGACCAGCCTGAGCAATATCAGGAGACCCCATCTCTACAAAAAAAATAATTTTAAAAAGCTAGGCCTGGTAGCACATTCCTGTAGTTTCAGCAACTCAGGGAAGCTGAGGCAGTGGGATTGCTCCCTTCCAGGAGTTCAAAGTTACAGTGAACTATGGTTGTACCACTGCACTCCATGCTGGACAACAGAGTGAGACCTATGCAGCCATAAAAAAGGATGAGTTCATGACCTTTGCAGGGACATGGATGAAGCTGGAAACCATCATTCTCAGCAAACTGATAAAAGAACAGAACACCAAACACCACATGTTCTCACTCATAAGTGGGTGTTGAACAATAAGAACACATGGACACAGGAAGGGGAACATCACACACCAGGGTCTGTTGGGGGCTGGCCGGGTGACTAGAGGAGGGATAGCAGGGGGTGGGGGAATTGGGGAGGGATAACAGTAGGAGAAATACCTAATATAGATGACAGGGGGATGGATGCAGCAAACCAACATGGCATGTGTATACTTATGTAACAATTCTGCACGATCTGCACATGTACCCTAGAACTTAAGATATAATTTTTAAAAACCACAAAAAAAGGAAAAGGAAATCAGAAAGTTCTCAAATCAATGATCTGGGCTTTTATCTTAAGTAAAAAATTTATAAGGAAAAGTGAAAGAGCTAGTATGCAAAAAAAAAAAAAAAACTGAAAAGAAGAACAAAATTGGAGGACTTACTACAAGGTTTCAAGATTTACTATAAATAATCAAGTAATCAAGAGAGAGGGTGATATTGGTGAAAGGACAGACATAAAGATCAGTGGAACCACACAGACCAAACACAGACCCTTATATCTATAGCTGATTTTTAACAGAATTGCAAAGGCAATTCTATACAGAAAAATTGATCATCTTTCCAAAAAACAGTGTGGAAAAGGGCATCCATTTGAAAAAGAAAACAAAAACTAAACCCATGCCTCAGAACATACACAAAAAATGAAGTCAAAATAGATAATAAGTATAAATGGAATATTTGAATCTGTAAAACTACTACAACACAATGTAGGCTAAAGTCTTTGTGACATTAGGTCATACAAATGTGTCTCAGAGATTCCTTAATCAATAATGCTGTGGACTGTGAATCATAAAAGTAAAAAATGATAAATATTTGTCCATCAAAATTTTGGAAAACTTTTTAACTTCAGCTCTTCGAAAGACCATGTAAAAAAATTAAAGATAAGCAAAAGACTAGGATAAAATACCTGAAAAACTCTTAGCATTTAAAGGTCTCCTATTCCAAATATATAAAGCATTCTAAAAACTCAATGTGAAGAAATTAAACAACCCAGGGAAAAAACTTTGTGAAAGGTGTGAGCGGATACTATATGAAAAAAAGACATGTGGATGACAAATAGGCACATAAAAAGGTGTTCTACATCAGTAGTGTTTGGGGAAGTACACATTAAAACCACAATGAAATTCCACCACACACCTATTAGAATGACAACCAAAAAACCCGACAATATCAAGGGCTACTGAAGATGTGGTGCAAACTGGAATCCTTATAGGTTATTGCTGGGAATTCAAAAATGGCGTTACTATTTTGGAAATGAGTTTTCAGTTTCTTAATTTAAATGTATACTTACATGGCACAGCAACTCAACTCACAGGTATTTAGACAAGAAAAATGAAAATGTATTCACATTAAAACCTGTATGTGAAAAAAACAAAACAAAACAGAAAACCTGTATGTGAATGTTTATAGCAACTTTTTCAAAGTAAAGAAAGACTGGTGGCAAGCCAAATATATTGTTTATAGTTGCCGAAAAGTGGAAACAACTTAAAAAATGTCTTTCAACTGGTGAATGGGTAAACAAATTGGTATATCCATGCAGTAATACACTACTAAATAATAAAAAAACAATGGTGGAAATAATAACATGAATGAGCTGAGAGGTATAATTCTACAGA